TATATATATATATATATATATATATATATATATACTGCAACTTCTCATATTAATAACTTTCTAAAGTGTCAAATTATGTGGAATAATAGCGGCATCTGGCAACACAGCAGAGGCTGTGCCCGTGCTCTCACTCACAACTAAATATGTACTCTACTGTCATGAACGGCCTTTTCTCAGAAAGTTTCAAAACAAAGGACACTCAATTACACAGACAGCTTCTGTTTGCGCAGCCAATTAACTGCTTTGTGCTTTTGCCGCATGTTTCAGAAGGACAGCTGTTCCTCATCTAACCAGGACTGCTAGTTCTAGTCCATCCGGTCCTCTGTTGGCCGGTCTAGAATTCCCTCCACAAGCAACACTGCATATGTCCTGCTCATAAACCTTTAGCACTTCCATGTGGGTGTAAAGTCCCTCTCCTCTCATCCCTACATGACGCCTCCGCTAACCTCTGCGGCCAGTTTACATCTACATTATCAAGTGTCAGTTTGACGACTACTTTAAACTCCAACCGTATTCCCCTTCCATCCTATACCTAATGGGACTTTCAAACTCATTGCCCTTGAAACTCTATGCATCCCACGTTCATAGCACATTTGCATGTGTTGTACGTTTTTTTTGGCTTGTGGAATCAAAGATGATACCCTAATTTCCTGTCCTAAAGATAATATTGAGTTGTGGAGCATTAGCTATGCCACCATGTGGTAACACTTGGAAAGAAAGCAAACCTAAAATCTGATATGGCCCTAAAAGTAGTACCTGCTAATTACATAATGGGAATTAGGTATTCTGAGCTATCGAAAGGTAGCAGATACAAGCAATTGTTCCTGGGCTTTGTTGTGTTGTGCCAATGCGCCAGCGTTTACGCGCACTATCGCCGCCTGCCCACCGCCTCAACAGATAAGCAGGCAGGAAACAAGAAATGGATTTATTTGATGCTCCGTAGCAACACGGTCTGGCAAAAGTGGGCCGACAAGTGAGAGACAACCCCTTAATGAGAATCCTCAAAGGGAACAAGGCAGAGGGCAAAGCAATGACTCCCGTGCTAAAGATATTTGGAGAGGAGATATTTCACAGGCTTACACAACTGAGATTCCCCACAAAGAACTGTCTTCAGAGGGTTTCTCGAGAAAAAAAAAAAAAGCTCTATAAAATGGGCTTTTGAGAAGTTCAGCCTGAATCCAGACGTTTAACCTCCTTGCAATTATTCTTTTTTTGATATCTAAAATGTGTTTGAGAATGATAATTATGTTTGGTCAATGGACACAATTAAATTGGTTCAAAGAAGTGATAGTGTGTAGGGGGAGTTGTGTTGAATACAAAACAGTACGATTGCATGCAATGCACTACATGTTAGTTTAAAGCAAAGAGAATATAATTACCCTTACTTTAAAAGTAGAAAATAATATATAGAATGATAATCAGGATGATGAAATCAACAGACATTCAAGTTAGTTCGCAGTACAAGGTGACCGGAGATTTTTCTTTGAGCTAAAATGAACACAGAACTTATTCAAAAAGATATTCTATTCCCATTCTGTCATTTTGGAATGATAGATCACATTATAAAAATGTCCTGTTTGGATTCCAAGGCATACGTTTTTGGTTGCTTAGCAGACATCAAATTGACTTATAGGATAGAGGAAGTTTCCCTGTATCAACACTGGCGCTGTGTTCCTATCTCAAAGATATTAATATAATTGTAATTATAATTTTGTCACTGCTTATAAGCTTATAGGTTATTATCTGAAAATATATAAGCATGTTTGCTTTAAGCAGAAAATGTGCAGCCAAATTTATAACTGCATGTCATGTTATCTGAACTGAACCAGTCCTAATGGGTATTCCTTTGACAGACGCCACCGTCGCCATCCTCCTCTTTTGAACACAACAGCCTTTCGCTTTCTATTCTACTGAACACTGTGGTATCACAGGCTTTGACATCGGAGTAAATGTAAAATTCATGGATCTGGTATGCCCAGAGCATGTGGATTAAGCTACAGGGGTAGTTAGTCAGGTCAGTGGAAGAAAGAGAAATTGCTTTTTCCGACCTCAGTGCATTTTGGGAGTCACGACGCCGTAATGAAAGTCAAAGAAGAGCATTGATGTGTTCTCCGAGTTTTGTTTGTTTGCCTGTTTGTGCATTCTGAACCTACTTTTTTCTTATGTTTCTTTCATTGTTGCAGCTGTCGCATGACAGCGGACATCTATAGGGCATTGCTCATAGTTGCGACATGAATAAATATATTTTCGTTTGATGTCAAAGCCCATAACAACACGCCTTGGGGTGTAAAAAAGATTCTGTAAGAAAACAACCACATCTTCCTTTTTCCTGTGAAAAACAGAGTAATGACTGAACTGATTGTAAGTAGAAAAATAAACAGCCCTGCTATTTTCTCTTCACAGAAAGCAAATTGTATTCGATATTTGACTTGATATTCGTAGCCAGTTCATCTATAGATTTTTTTTTCCCTCACTCAATCTCATATAATCCAATGTGACAGAAACAAGCTTTTAAGAGAACCCTGTTCTCTTCGCATTCTATCACACACTGCCTTCAAGTCATGAAGAAATGATCATGTTTGAGACGAGCGCACATGTACACCACCAAAATGTCCTAAATAGCAGTGGGAAACACTGGATTATCTTTGAGCCCCGGGTTTTGTAGGAGTGGGAGTGGTGACGACTGAAGGAACGGCTGAACCAGAGTTAGGGCCCAAAAAAAGGTCTTGAGACATTGGGCCTCATTTACGAAACGAACGTACAACAGAAAATTGGGCATACAGTCGTTTCAACGCAAAACGTGGATATTTATCAATATGGACGTGAGCGGTGGCTACAATCAAATCTCACGTCTGGTCTCAGCTCGTGTACGCAAGTTTTTGAGTTACCTGAACTTGCGCAGAGCATAGTAAATACGGTGGAGAATTGTAGAATTGCGCCTCACGCACACACAAACAACATTAGTTCTAGCGTTGCCTGACATTTCAGCCATTCATCATCAAACTAAAATGCAGTCAACCAAACATAAAAGTAACACTGTTTATTTTAAATGATCCTCTGTAAAATCAGCGTGCAGCGCTCAAACAAAAAACATTTTTGCTCATGTGAAGGATTTTACACGGATATTAGAACATGACTGAAGTATAAAGCCATGTTTAGGCTACATAATGAATAATAGTTATGCAAACAAATGGATGGCAAAAATGGATACATTTGGATTGTGTGGTATGAGACAGGCGCGTGAGCCCAATAAGGAAAATTATTTCTAAATTTGGAAAGTAATTTAAAAAAAAAATGGTTTTACTTGTTTTATTTTGTTCAATGTTTGAGGAGCTGCAGCATACATACAGCAGGCATCTATTAGAGAAAAAAGGAGGAGGTTATTAAAAACAAAGTTTATCTGTTTTTACCGAGGCGAATTAAGGTAAGTTGTAAACACCACATCTGCGCTTGTGTGTGCGTTACATCTGCCGGTGCCGGCATTTTTCAAATTAACAACGGTTGTTCACGGCGACGCAAAGAATTGTGGGTTATCTGTAGCAGCGAAGGATACACCTCATGCATCCTCCGAATTCCTGTGAAAGAAGGTCGCATTCGAAGGTCGCGTTCGGAGTGTCCTACTTGCTTTTCTGAAATGAGACAGCCTCGATGACGTATGCAGCCTTCGAATGCGACCTCCGGAGGACGCAGCCTTCTAAATGAGACACAGCTTATGATTTTCTAATGATCCTGAAGACATTGATTAGCATGCTCAGGTGTGTTTGATTAGGGTTAGAGCTAAATCTGCAGGAAAGTGGATCTCGTGCATATGCCAGATTTGAGGATCCCTGATCTACAGCGTGTTTATATAGCAAAACAACTATGGAAAACATAAATGCAGTCTGTATTGGTCTTAAAAGTATGTTGCACAGCTCAACAGTGTGAGCATTCCACTCGCATTTACAAATAAAAGTAGATGTGTGCAAACAAAAATTCCTGGGAGGTCTATAAAAAGTCTTAAATGGTCTAAAATAGTGTAAAAGGTTTTAATATTTTATTACATTGTAAATTTGGGATGGAATAAAAGGAATCATGAAACCGATCAATCAAGCCGATCCTCCCTATATGCAAAATATGCAAGCTGCGTAGGGCCCCCAAAACACCAGAGGACCCCCTTGCTCTCAAAGATTTCATTTTAATTTTGTTTTTGAATTTGGCCAGTGGTTATGAAAACATGAATGATCGCCCTTTCTACATAAAAATCAGTCAAATCATGTAATGTGAATGTCGTACAGTCTATTGCTCGAGAGTAAAAAAATGAGTTGAAAGCGCACCGAGCTGCAGAAGAGATACTGTTTCTCAAGCGCTTTCCGCGAGCGCAATTCGAGACGGAGTGAAACAAGGACAAATGCGTTTCATTCATTCGTTCATAACCACTCATACCCCACTCCACCGCCGACACAGTTTTGCGTAGGGCCCCAAGAAGTCTAGGATCGGCACTGCAATTGCGTATCATATGCACATTTCTGTGCCCATTTCTTGCGTATGGTACACCAAATAGAAGCAGAAAACCGTGCCATTGAAATGCACTTTTATGAGATCGGGTTAGGTTTTAGAGCATTTATGATGATTATGTTGTACGAGTAGGGCATATTTTTCTCCCTGGTGTTTTAGAATGAGCAGCCAGCAATTGTAAAGCATAGACGTTTCAAAGTAAGAGTCCCTTTGTTTTTGTCTTCTGCTTATTGTTGGCATTTCGGTTACACAATAAACCAACAAAACTCTCTTCTGTCTTGGACAAGAATGTCTTATTGTATGCTTTAGGAAAGACAAAAGCGCATTATTTGATACTTTTTCACTCCGCCTCAAAAGCGGCTGAATTTTTCATCTTAGGAAAAAAAATAAGTGTTGTAATTGAATTCGACAATCTGTTATGTTTCCTCAGGTGCCAGGATTCAGTATGAAAGGATAGGAAGTGATGTCACTATGCAGTGTGGCTCTCTGGACAACGACGCCTCGGTAACATGGAAGGTGAACGGTACAGACGTGAAGGCCCGTCGGCGGGAAGAAGGACCACGGCTCATCCTGATGGAAGTGAACATGAGTAGCAACGGCCTGTACAGCTGCTTCCAGAACCCTGATGGCCAGCGCCGCGACCAGATCAATCTTCGCGTCGGAAGTAAGTAGTGTCTGTTTATCCCACTTTCCTCTTCCTCGTATTCACTACATCCTTCCCAGAACTCGGAATAACCCTGCACAGTGTTTACCCCGACACTTATTTTTCTAAACAAGCACTGCGCTCGTTTCCGCCACTTGCTGCCCAGTCATCTCTTAGAGGCCGGTGACCTCTTGTTTGGATGTCTCATCTGTGTATTTGAAGAGTCTAAATATTAACAACAAACGTCATTGTTTGACCCTGACCGCTCCTCGGTTCTCCTCGGGCCCCTGATCCCAAGCCTTGTCTTCTCCAGCAAACAGCTGCTTCTATCTGTGTGGGAGACACTGGGGTGCAAGTTTTATATCTTATCTATTTGTCAACTGGATTAATTTGTCATGCTAGATCTTTTTTTTTATGAGGACACACAACACGATGGGAGAGGAGATGGTAGCCGTCCAGATGGTCGCAATACAACAGGGTCCCCCTTGCTTCTGAGTGGCCCCCAAAAAACAATTCAATCACAAAAAGTTTGAGCATTCAAAATAAGTCAGTTGTAAATCAGACAGCAGTCGAATACTGAAATGAGACTGTACTACTGGTACTGCAGAAAGACTGCTATCGTTACCAGGGCTCCGAAATAAGAGTTTTTGGCCAGTTTACAAATCAGTTACGCACCCTTTCAGGCCTGTGTTGACACTGACATTGAAACTTAAAATCTTACATTTGTTGTTCTTAAATATACATACATATTTATTTATTTATTTATTTATTTTCCCGTTGTTGTTTGGTTTAATTTTGTTTGTTTGGTTAAATGTTTTCCAAAACTATACAAAGTATGATTTTTTTTTTTTCCGGAACTGTATACATTTATTTTTTTGTTGTTGGAACTGTATAATTTTCATATTTATTATTATTATTAATATTATTATTATTATTATTATTGTTGTTGTTGTTGTTGCTGTTGTTGCTATTATTATTATATTGGAATATTTTTGGAATTCCAGTATTTATTTATTTATTTATCTATCTATGTAAAGAAACGTTTTTGTAAAGAAAACCTACTGTTTTGATCTCTGATTACATTTTATTATTTTAGTATAAACTTGGTACTGAATACCAAAAATAAATCAAATAAATAAATATTAAAAATGTCAAATATCTGATATAGCGGCATATTAAACATCAAATGTCTTCTGCACTGCATGAACATGCATAACAAAGGTGGGCGACGTGGTTTATGTGATCTTACCCTTAAATTATTTCCCTCAACTCTCTGATAACCCCAAAGCTAAATTATGAACTGCTACACTGCAAAGCACCGTAATCAATATTATGTGACAAGATGCTACCCGTAACGCCGCCTGACAGCAATTTCATTGACTAATCAAATTAGACGAATGAAGAGGGGAAAAGTGGAGATGAGTCCCCTTTTGAGAATATGACGAGGAATGTGCTTCATCACTCATCTCTGCATGCTTCCACGGCTCCCGAAAATAACTTGTACGAAATGTAAGCGAGATCACATGATTACTAAAAATGGTCTAGTTCATCTAAAGGAAATTCATTTTACAAGCTTTAATAATGCATGGTTTCAAGAGCATGCAGATTTTCTTGGCAAAAACTACAGCAAATTTCCACTTTGTTTCTTTTATTCTGTCTCTGCGAGCTAAATGTCTTTAATATCTTGATTGTTTCTCGTAAGATAAAATAGAGAGCAAATTAAAGGGATAGGGATAGTCGTTCCAAGCCCGAATCACTTTCACACAGGATTGAAAAGATGCGATGGTGAGTAAATGATGACAGAATTTACATCCCTTTAAGACATTAATCCTACACGTCTCCTTTGTTTACTTCTGTAATTAACATCTGTTCCAGGTGATCTAAACACAAGCGATCAGCCAAGACAGATTGCCATTTACACCTAAATGCATCTCCTGTGACCTCCGATTTCGTAACTACTTACTTCACCTGCTACATCAGTGATGATGTCGATGAAGCACAAAAAGTTTAAAAAGTCAGCACAGTTTAGCAGATGGTCCAGTTTTAGAATCTTTTAACCAAGCGAAGGTGAGAACAGTATTTCATTGTGTGACTTTGCTGCACATAAATCTGATTGTGAGCTTAGCCTGACGGGCTGGTGGCCCTGTGGCCGCAGTTTCTCTCTCACAGCGGCTGGGTCACAGGCAAGCCAGCTCAGCTAACAAGATAAGTTCTGCAGCTAAGTGCCTGAATGAGAATGGCATGGTCCCAATCCCACAGACAGGGAGAGGCCCCTCCGCAAGTACGTCAAATGCTCTGCCTATCTGTGACAGGAACGCTTGCCAGGAATTAGAGGGGAAAAATCGAGTCTGGCCATTTACAGGGATTCCTGTAGTTCCTCTAAACAGTCTTTAGTGGTCTGTCATAACCAAAACAGCTTGTAGGTCAACTTTCACAGACAAACCATAGGAAATAAGTTATGGTTTCCTTGATAATTATGATGGTTTTGTTTGTGCCCACAGATGATTCAAGATAGCAGGATCCAGTTGCAGTGAACGTCTTTGTTTCTTTCTAGCATTTCTTCGGCATTGTACAAGGCAGCCTCAACCCCAGTGAAATCCTAATGGTTCCAGTGTATAAATATCAACTATGTTCTCAATGTCCATGCATTTCTGGTTTCAGTGTGGACTGGTAGCTGGAAACAGGATATTTTAAGAAATTCTACGAAGAGTAAAGAGGAGTCGAATCAGTAAACATCGCAAACTGGACTCAAACCTATTTCACCCACACAAGCACCATGGCTCAACTTCTCAAGCGTTTTTACATTAATTACCGTGACTTAATTGAGTTTCCAAAAGGCCCCTGGATTCATCTTTGTGGGCATCTTACCCCCACACATAGCAAGACCGCCTTGTTTATGTTAAAGTCATGTAGAAATGGAAATAGAGACAAATCTTTACGTCTGTATTATGACCAGTGCTGGGTAAAATGTAATCCATTACTGATTCCAAATTACATGACAAAAATTGTAGTTAGTAACACAATCTGTTACATTATAAAGTTTAGATAATATAATCAGACTTCTTTTAGATTACTTTTGACCTCACTTGTTTATCATTATATATATATATATATATATATATATATATATATATATATATATATATATATATTCCATTCATTGTAATTAACAGCATGAAGTTACATCAACGTTTCCTGTAGGGGTTTGTGATTTTAATGAAAAGCTAATAATTAATTAAACTATAAAAATATACAATTATAATAAATCATTTAAAAATATCATCAATCAAAATAAAACACTATATATATATAGAGTTCTGGCATGAAACTCTAGATGGTGCAGTCCGAACTAACTCAATCTGGCCTAATGATATCATTGTCACATGGCACAGCTGATTGGTTCTCTCCTATATCGGTAGCCAATGAGCTCGCTGCTCAGCATTCAAATATGTTTATGTTAAAGTCATGTAGAAATGGAAATAGAGACAAATCTTTACGTCTGTATTATGACCAGTGCTGGGTAAAATGTAATCCATTACTGATTCCAAATTACATGACAAAAATTGTAGTTAGTAACACAATCTGTTACATTATAAAGTTTAGATAATATAATCAGACTACTTTTAGATTACTTTTGACCTCACTTGTTTATCATATTTAAAAATACAAAGAGAAAAAAGCTGATTGGTTCTCTCCTATATCGGTAGCCAATGAGCTCGCTGCTCAGCATTCAAATATATGACTAGGGCTTACTGTAGCAGTTGCAGCTTGCTTCAGAAACCCTCCACCTTCCCCAGCTCCACCTGTATAGATCTGCTACGAGGTGATTCATGTACGCTATATGGGGGTTATTTAATGTATGTTATATTTGCAGCAGCAGCATTTCTTACATGCTCACAGCAGCATGGTGTGGATGTATTGGTAGTAGCAAGTCTCGGTACTTGATCTGCCGCAGCAGCAGCAGTGTAGCAGATCTATTCCACCAAGACCAAATACATTAACATTGTCATGTACATTACCATGCCAATCCCTCCGATAGTTGTCATATATATATATATTGTTTGTGCACCTGCATGTCACATGCTGTGGACATATACAGTACATGTTATTATTAAAATATTTATTTTAAAATCTCAGAGGTACTTCAAGTAAATAGATTAGGTGAAAGAGGTGCAGATGACAAAAAAGGTCTGGGAATACCTGCATCACATGTATATAAGAAATAACATGAATTTGTGCATTTCAATGTGTTTGAAAGAAAAAAACGCCTCCCAATGAAATGTTAATCAGTAGTTGATGCAATGCAATGTTGAAGCACTTCTTAAACTTGTAATGATTTTTGTAAATCCAGTGGTCAAAGACAAGTTTACAGTCGATTGTGGAGGGGCAGGGTTTAAGGAGATGAAATGATTGGAAAAGTACGGCATACATCCTGTACATTTTGTTTAAAAATTAGACTATTTAAGCAATTTGGTTCAAATAGAATATTGTTACAATTAGATGATGGATGATAATCATCAAGGAGTATTTGTGGTGGGGTTGCTTTCAAAGCGTTGTCAAAGGCCCATGTAGATAACCCAGTGTGTATTCCTGCCCTGCAAATAGTGGCAGTAAATTTAGTGAAAAATCTTCAAGAATTCAACCTTTAACAAGATCCACAACTAAACTGCTTAAATGTGACTGGATTTTCTTGAAGTTACAGTATATTGCATAGTGTCTTAGATTCTAACTTTTTTAATCACTGGGTGCTTGCAACCCTTTGATTTTGGGATAAATAATGACCTCATCTATCATACTTTCATAACGCTGTCTTGAAACACTCAGTAAGATTAATACAGTCCTCTGTACCATTATTGGTTGGCAGGAAATATGATGCATAAGCATAGAAAGTTTACTAATAATGCTTACCTCTTATGAGCGCTGTTTGCTACTTAAATGTTGGACTTTCATTTATTCTGTCTGAAAGTTACCTATCCCAAATGTCTCCCGTGCACTAGATGTGTCCATGGATTGAAATCGAT